ACAGAGAGGGGGGCCCAAAGCGGACAATATCGTGCTATGGCGGAGCCGATCCAGGGATGTGACAGTTGAAGTACCTATTAATGGTCTCACCCAATCGAATAAATCTACTTCTAATAGTATGATTCTTAACATGATGTGCAAGTACATGTAACAATATACACATTTGTTCCTCCAAAGTCACCAAACCATCATTTTTAACCCTTCCATTAACGTGAAGCAACCCACATAATATACCAAACATCCTTAAATCCATTCTTAATTCTCTCACACACACTACATCATTCTCCAATATACTATTTAGATAACGCAACCGCGTCTCATGTCTAACAAAAGAACGATTATTAAGGTCACATCTTTTTATAAGTCGTTGATTTCTCCTCATTTTGAACATCATAAGCACAAGGATTGTGCAACCACATGTTGTCTCTAAATGCCACATCTCCATCAGTAATATCAACAAAAGCTTTCTTCGATCCATATCTAATAAACCATAGAAACCAACAAAAATAAAGCATATATATTTTTACAAACCAACAAAGTAAATGTCTAGATGATATATATACAAACCAACAAAGTTTCTGCATTGCTTAGAGTACATGTTTCTTTTTTTCCTTTTTTTCACTTGATACAAATTACACTTTCCACTTGACCAGTGCCAATCACCATGAAAAAGAAAAACCAGCACCTAACAAACAATTATGCCAAGTGACCCATGGAGAAATTATAGAACATCCTTGAGCAATTAAAAACCATTAGGAGATGAGAATAGCAAGCAAACTGGGCACATCAACTCTACTGATTCCTATTAGAAATTTCGTTAAGAAAACCAAGTCTCCCTATTTTCATAGTTTATTTAAGATAATTTAGCATGCCTCTTGACCTGAGCATGTGGAAGCACTATCTTAAATGACAGGACCTGCCTCGAATTTTCTCAGAAACAGGGACAGATCCCGCCTTAATACCGACATCACCCCAATGCCGGGCCCATTTACTAAGAGTCGAGACTTTCTACCAAAAATTTGGCAGAATCTCCCCTGTAAATTGAACATTTCCCAAACTTCAACTTGCTCAAAATTCACAGTTTAACAATCCCAACCAGCAACATGCTTTAAAGCAAATAAACAGTTTACAACAAAGGCCTCCGGCCTCACAAATCAAACCCTACGCGGGCGATAACAAAGCATGTCTAAGAATTTCAGTTACGACAAGAACAAAGTTCAACAGGAATGAAATGATGAAAGAGTTCCTATGAAGGCTAAAGATTCGGAAGCACACAATCCAGCTCAGCTGCGGAGCTCAGTCAACTACTGGCTGGGGGGCACAAAACAGAAAATTGTGAGCGGACAAAAATAAAGTTTAGTTCAGTGTAAACCAACATAATATAGCCCCACCGTTTAGGAAAACATGCTAGAAAATCCAAATGCATCCCAAAACCATCAGAATCAAGTATATATATAACAAAACAAATCAAGTACCATATGCCAAGTCCGAAATCCAATAATAATACTTCACAAACCACCAATCAAAACTTATAAGTCCCGAAAAACTAAACTCTCGAAAGCGTACCCATTGTCACTACCGGCGAGGAAGTATCCTCCCCGAGAAACAAGAATGAATGAATAGTTATACATATATATATATATATAATTATATAATAGAAGATATATATAATATAACCACACCTAGTTGTACCGGGAAACAATCCAACCGGGGGATTGTTTGACTAGTCCACAGGGCAGAGTCCACATAACAAAAATTCCTCAATTCACCATGTGGCTAGGGAACGAGTCGTCCAACTGGGGGACTAACTCTCAGCTAGCACGTACAGCTGAGACACTCAAAGCTCGTACGTCTGTGACCAGTCCTACGCGCGCAGACTACCCAATCAAGAGTCTACAACAACATCCCGTCAAGGATGCCCCGGGTTCCGACAATTCCAAGAATCTCAAGTTTCCGTATCCATGTTCCAAAACCGGGGGAGGGGGGGAGGTACATAGGGTAGTGCTTAAAGCACTCCAAACTGACATTCTATGCTCAAACCTTTCCACAATCTCAACTCAACAACCCAAGTACCCCACACATAGACAATATAGATAGAAATTCTCAAAATCCATATATACATACTCAAGATACTCAAATATGTCAAAACCCAAAATATAATGCCAAAGCTTTATAAGAACATCAAATTTGACAATCACATATATAATATATCCAATTTACCATTTAAAACAATATGCAATATTTTTCCATCAATAAAACCATGCTTAAGATTTGAAAACAAAGTCCACTCACAAGTAGTCCAACACTGTTTGACCCTGAGAAGGTCCCGCCTGCTGTATGTGCGTGGTCAGAGTACCTATTTCAAATTACGAAAACGAGATTAACACAAAGCGTTTCAAAAGAGAACTTTAAATTAAAATCCTAGTTTTCCGGGTTTCTAAAGAGTGTACGAGGAACGAGACAAAATGAAAGTTCCTAAAGGTTCCACAAGGTTTAGGATACACGTCCTGTAAGTTTGGTATGAAACGGACGGTTAGATCGTTCACGATCAGACGGTTATCGCAAAACGCAAACTTTAAGTTATTGAATCTGAACATCCGGGCCTCCGATTCACGATCCGCGAATTTCTACACGATCCTAGAAAGGTCTAGAGTAACATATATTGGAATGGAGAAGATCCAATGGTCCGAACATATCGAACCCGGTTAACGCACAATATGCGATATCCGATTGACCATCAAACGATTACCAAATTGAAATCCGAGAATACCGTTATACTCGGAACAACACAAGGATCATTTTAGAACAAAATGGCAGACCGGCATTGTTCCCACGCGCCACCCCACGAGCTGGCAACCGCCGGCCAAGACTTCCAGGTTAGGTAAATCACATGCAATGGAGCAACTTTTGTTCTTGGACCTACTCCAAAAAGTCAACGGAAGTGGCCAGAATCGGAGGCCGAAACTGGCCAAAACTTCCATCACTTGGAAACGTTTCAAAACTCAAAAATTGATCTAAATACCACAACCAGCCGCTAGAGCATGTTGAAAGGATAGAAATGCATACCAAGTTCGAAGAATTTGGTTGCCGGAAGTGTGAGAACGAGCGGCCGAAAGTTTACAAAAAATTCGGCTGTTTCTCGACGTTTTCCGGCAATACCAGCGGAAAATCAAAGCAGCAAAGGGCTGGGACTTGTAGAGGATGACGAGCTGGTTCTTTTGGGACCGGTGCCGACAAAAATGGCGGCCGGACGCGACGGTGGTGAGGAGAAAACCGATCAGCTGTTTTGAGAGGGAGGGGAACTGTTCGCGATGGGGAGAGAGAGTGAGAGTGAGAGGGAGTTTCCAGATTTATTAAAAATCAACTTCAAGAAAATTACGGTTATGCCACTGAACTTGTTTTGATCGTAACTCCTTCTACAATTCCGAATCGAGCCCACTACATGTCTACGGACTCATCTCAATACGATCTACCCAAAAACACCAATCACAGCCCCAAACTCTTCTCGGTTAAGAAAATGAACGAAATACCCCTACCCTAAGAGTAATTTCGTAAATTCACTTAAAGAAATTAAATAAGGAATTAAATTTGGAGTCGGGGTGTTACATCAACTCTGTGTGCAAGGAATTTTAAGACTGCAAGGCACAGAGTATAGATGGAAATGTTTTAAGGTATGTTTATTATGCTTTGGAAATTTGGAGAAATTGTAGTAAGTTGTTTTGTCTTCTTTTGAAATTTTTAGAACTTCATTAAATGTAATATTTCTTTTAATAGAATTGCTTGGGAGTTCTAAATGGAACTTACATTAAAGTTCGTGTGCCTAAAATTGATAAATCAAGATATCAAACTAGGAATGGTGAAATTGCAACAAATGTGTTGGCTGTTTACTCACGCAACATGCAGTTTATATTTGTATTGCTTGGTTGGGAGGGATCTGCATCCGACTCGAGTCATTCGTGATGCCATAACTAGGCTGAATAGGCTAAAAGTTCCCACATATAAGGCCATTAGTAAGTATTCACTTTATGTGCAATTTTGAATTAAATTTATACACCAACACTAATAGGGATTGTCAATTTTGGTTATTAGGTGTTTATTACTTGGTAGATGGTGGTTACACAAATGGTGAAGGATTTCTTGCACCATATAAAGGAACAAGGTATCATATAGCCGAATGGAGAGATGGATATACAGCTGCAAATCATCAAGAATATTTTAATATGAGGCATTCAAAAGCAAGAAATGTAATAGAACAATGTTTTGGGTTGTTGAAAGCTAGGTGGGGCATACTAAGAGTCCATCTGTTTACCTTATAAAGACGCAATGTCGGATAATTACAGCTTGTTGTCTTTTGCATAATCTCGTTAGGAGAGAGATGTCCATGGATCCAATGGAGCATGAAGTGAATGAAATTAATGAGGCAGAAAATATGGTAGAAGGCGATACAATTGGCATTGTTGAAGCATCCAATCAATGGACTGCATGAAGGGATGACTTGGCCTTGCAACTATATAATGAGTGGAGGGCAACTAGGAATAACTAGCCAATTTGTGGTTTATGAATAGCTAGCCAATTTGTGAATTCTGTTTCAATTTTTATTTGAGACATCACCATTCAAACTTAAGCATGTATTAATTTACTTGAGGATTAAGCACTTTGCAATTTGAATAACGATTATGATTGTTGTATTAACTTGACCAATTGTGTTGTAATTTTGATAACCCTGTTGTTGTTATCTATTGTTTGTCAATGTTATATATTTCGTTTGTTGTTTGTTTTTCTTTAGTTCAATGATGATATATATTGTTGCTTTATATGTGTGGAGTCATAATAGGAATTGAAAGTATTGATGCCAATCAAGACTTTGAGCAAGGAGGAAACAAACTAGGCAGTCATGGTCTAAATTTGAGGAAGAGCAATTGCTGACAGTGCTTGAAGATTTTGTGGCTAGAGGCCATCGATGTGAGACTGGTAATTTCAAATATGGTACTTTGCTCCAAATGGAGAAAGTTTTGAATATTCTATGTCCTTGTGCTGAGCTAAAGGCAAGTCCACACATTGAAACAAAGTTAAAGTGGTGGAAAATACAATATAGTATAATTTATGACATCATAAATACAAGTGGATTTGCATGGAATGATGTGAAAAAATGCATTGAAGTTGATAGTAATGAAGCTTGGGAGACTTATGTGCAGGTACTACTTGCCTATATTTCATTACAAAGATTTGTTTTTATTACATATAGTTAAACATAAACTAAGTGGTGTCTTATTTATTGTAGCACCACAAGAATGCAGTTGAATGGAGGAACAAATCATTCCTATTATTTGATAGACTTGCTAATTTTTTTGGAAAGGATCATGCTAATGGAAAAGGGGCTAAAGTCCCTAGTGAGATGATGGAAAAGCAAGGGAATAATGAAGTTGATGCTAGTGATGACAATGATACAGAGGAAAAGAGGAAAACAAGAGGAAAAGAGGCTCAAGTGATGAAGACAGAATTGTGACTGCACGTGAAAAATTGTTTGAAGTATCTGGAAAAAGGAAGCAAATGGTGATTGACGCTTTCTTAAAAGGTAATGAAGATCGATATGATATTGCCAAAGAAGTCAAGGAAATGAGGTTTTTTTGCTATGGATCAAATTAAAGCATTAAAAATCATTTTGGATAAGCCACAAACAATATCTCTATTCAAGTCACTTGATGCTGATATCAAAAAATCCTTTGTTGAGCAATTGCTCAATGAAAATGCTTGAAGGAGGCAACATATGATATATTGGAAACACCACAAGTGCATCTCCCACCTTAGAAACACCACAAGTAGTTGCTGTTGCTTTTGTTTTTGTTGCTTTATTAGTCTCAGTTTGGAATTGTGGATGTTTATTTATATATGTTATTTAGTGGGTTTTTGGTTAATTATTATTATTGTTAGTCTGTGCGCTTGAAGAAAGTAATATGTGAACTTGAATTTGTAATTTCAAGCCATGTGGATGACTTCTGCATATATATATAAAATATCTAACTTTTGCATCTATAAACACTACAAAAAAAAGTGTCATTACCGACCAACTTTTTCCGAGGGTCCCGAAACTCCCTCGGTAAAAGTGTTTTTTCCGACCAAAAAATGTTATCCGTTGGAAATATTTCATGGGGCTGAAATTTATTTCCGACAAAGGAACTACCCTCGGAAAAAGTCTATAAGGTCGTCGGAAATGTAATTTATTTGGAGGGAAAACTTGGCGCCAATTTTATTAACGACAAAAACTATTTTTGTCGGAAATAAGACGATTATTTCCGAGGGGTTTCTCATTCCGTCGGAATTGTTTGCCTATTTCCTAGGAGCTTCTCATTCCCTCGGAATTGTTTGACTATTTCTGAGCAACTTCTCATTCGGTCGGAATTGTTCGACTATTTTTTTAGAGGCTTCTCATTCCGTCGGATTTGTCTATAAACAAAATTGAGTTTTTGTTATTACTTTGTATTTTATAATTCAAAATTAGATTTTTTGAGCTTTAAGGCTAAGAGAATGTCACAAGGAGTTTCTAGGAATTTTCGGTATATTTTTTTTATTTTAAATTTATTTATTATGAATCATAAAAGTTAAATCTTAAAGAAATACTATGAAATAGAATGGATTGACATGTGTTAGCCTCTTAAAGGAACTATGTCAGTGTTTCTGATAGGAGGCCTATAATATGGCGACATGTGTTATTTTCTGACTATTTATTGTTTTTATCTTAAACAATTCATAAAAAAAATTAAATAAAAATAGTAAAAATGCACCGAAAATTGCTACAAACTCTTTTATCTTTAGCCTACTATCTCATAGCCACATATATCACTTTTTTTTTTAATTCTCAGCCAACAGAAAGGGACAAGATCAAACAAACACAACTTACAAAAAGATTTTAAAAAGGAACAGTAAAACATTATGACATTAAAATAACACAACTTACACTTATTTTCATGCTCCATTATTGTTTGTGGTTGGTCAAACTCAAATACAACATCAATATATTAGAACATCATTAAATCAATGGTACTAAGCTCCGAATCTTCCCCAATTTGCATACAATCTAAGGTTATTAACTCACCTTTATTTCTCAAGTTTCTGATCTTTATTCAATGGTTGTTTGTTTGCTAATTAATTGGCTCCAATTTTTAGTTCTATTGATTTGTGTTTTTTTTTGGGGTTTGGTTGTACTTATTTGTGTAGTGTTTGGAAAACAAATTTCTAAATTTAACTAAACTATAGTCCTCGTTCGCGTTTAGTTATGCTATTTTCGGGCTTTAGCGTCCTTATCAAAAAATAAATTTATAGACAATTTGAATCATTTTATATTATATTATAGAAGAAGCCAAGAAAAAAGAATATAGTCAGGCCCTAAATAAATTCTTGGTTCCACCATTGATTCCACATGTTTCAGTTAATGAGAATCATTGGATCCAATAAACAAGAGTGTTACGTGACAGAATGTTTTGATTTGTTTATGAATAAAGTTGAGTTTTGTTATTACTTTGTATTTTTATAATTCAAAAATTAGATTTTTAGAGTTTTAAGGTGAAGAGGATGTCACAAGGAGTTCATAGGATTTTTTAGTGTATTTTTCTTATTTTTCAATTTATTTGTTATGAAATTAAAAGTTAATTAACTATATAAAAAAAAACATATTTGCGACGACGTTTTTCCGAGGGACGCCAAATACCCTCGGTAATAAATTTTGCGCTCGCTTTCCCCCAAATTTTTTTCTCCTGCCGCCCTTTTTTTTGGCTCCATTTAAATTTTGTGCCTAACACTTTGCCTAGAAAAAAAAAAAACCAAAGAAACACAAAAAAAACCCTAACTCGCTCTATCTCAAGCTTTTTCTGACCCAAACCCTCACTTCCTCCTTCTCATCTACAAACTCTCCAGTTCTCACAAATATCACTTTGAGTTGAACCCACACCCACCATCGCTCCATTTTTGCCGTCGTTGCTCCAATCGAAGAAGTCACTCGCCATCGCCGTCTCCTCTCATCATCTCGTCGCCGCTGCCTCTATCTCAATTTCAGGTAAGTTCCATCTCGTCTCATCTCACCTCAGTTATTTAGATACAAATTTATGAAAGGTAGAAGGAAGATCTAGGTAGATCCGCCATCATATGGTATTGTGGGATCGTGAGTTCCATGATAGGTAGAAGGAAGATTTTTATTAGGGTAATTTCTGGAATTGGTCTCTTCTTTGGTTTCCATTATATTTCCTTGATAATACTGATGGGTTTTCCATGTCTGCCTTTTGGTTTAGTAATCTTTTTGATCTGATGAAACCAGACCTCATCTTTGGTTTTCAAATTCTCGCTCCTCCCTGCCTTTCAATCTTACAAGGTTGTTTGCTCTTCCAATCAAGGTAATAATCTCAACCTATCCTTGCTCTTTATTTTAATTTTTTTATATAGCAATTTATGATTTCAGATTATACATGGTGGGAACCAGACCTCATCTTTGGTTCCTTCTGTATATTTGTCATCACTCTGTATCTTGTAATTTTGGTCTATATTTGAGAAGAGGAATTGGGTCTGAATGCTTCATCAACTATTTAGAGAGGAGTGCTTGCAGAGAACATTATAGCCGTGTTTGCAGAGAACATTATATAGTCTTTATATATTTGATTTTTCATTTTCATTTGGGTCTATTGGTTGATTTTGAGTTATAGACAATAAAAAAAAAAGAGAGATAAAAAACAGAGAACATAAAAGATTTTATAGAAATAATAAGATTAGAAAGAGAGACCAAAACATAGAATAGAAGCATACATGGTCATCCTACAAGTTAATAATAGTCAAATTGTACATGGTCATCCTATAAGGTAATAATAGGATACAGTAAATTCTTCTGATTTGTTCTTTTTCATTACTGTGTGTTTGATTAGGCATAATGACATATCATGAGTTTAGACTGTTGTATGTGGTCTATTTATGTCAATTGCCTGTGGGTCAATGGAGATTGTTCCATCACTTTTTTTCTCTCTTTCTCTCATATGTAAATGGGGCAAATTAACTTTCTTTTGTGTTTACACAGCATTGAAGATTCTTTTCAGATTGGACATGAGATTGCATCTGAAATTACTGCTATGAAACCAAATCCAATTGTTTGGAAGATGGAAAAAGTTTATAGCCCGTGCTTCCTCCTTATTAAGAAGCGTTATGTTGGTTACAGTTATGAAAGCCCTGAACAGATTGCCCATGACAGTTCGCAGGGATACATGTGGGGCTGTTGCCAAGACAATGGAGCAGTCTTTGAGACTTTTTTTTGAACATCAGGATATGTATGAGGTACAAAAGCATGTGCTATTCCTTTTGATTGTACTTGAACTGGTTTGATAAAATCAAGGGTGAAGAGCAAAAGATAGGACGTCCATTGGTTGTAAGTCAATCCATGTTCCCATGTTACCTCTTTAGTTTCATAGATATCTTGTATTTGCCCTGAGTTTTTTTTCCTTAAAATAGCTTTTACTGGTGGTTGACTTGATTTCCACGGTTAGATGATGACCTTTGTTTTTTTTACACAGGTTAGAGCATACTTACAGCGTCAATGGAAGCGGATTCTATCTGGAAGGGTGTCTCTTCAGGATTTTGTATTTGCAAAGGAGGTTCGCCTTGGCACCTACCGTGCTTGTATCTATTTTTCTGTTCTTATTTCATTACTGTCTGTCATGTATTGCCTTCTTGATATATTTGATTTAACACATTGACTAAAACTTTGTTTTGGAAACAGAACTAGCTCTGTTCTTGTTTTGGCAGGATAAACAAACAATGTTATTATTAATGGGAAGTAGCAGCAGCCCAGCATTAGTGAAGATTCAAAGGAAGCTATGAAGCATGCATTCGAACTCTTTAATGTTCGATTGGAAGTAGACTTTGGGACTAGTGATATAGGACATAGCTTAGGATTGTAATGAATATTTGTAATTTATTACATTTGTCTTTTATTAATGATGATATATACTATTCTTCGAACAACAATTTCTCAATTGAAATATTATTTATATTTTTTGACAAAATATTTGTACGTTTAATGCTTATAAATGTAGTCGGAAAAACTTTTTTTCGACAAGCTTCCATGTCAGAAAAGCACAATTCCAACGAATTATATTTATCACAAATAGTAATCTAGGGTCGGAAATACTATTTTCGACAAATAGTCATTGGTCGAAAAAATAGTATGGCAAGAACAAAAGATCTCGATAAAAAATTATTTCCGATAGGTTCGCAAGTATTTGCGACCACATTTATTGTTGGAAATGAATTTGTATGGTCGTTTTGAAAATCTATTTCTGATAAAAAAAAAATAGCAATATCGACGAAATATGGGTGTCGAAAATACATTATTTCCGACGGAATGGTCGGAAAAAAAGTATTTCCAACCGGCGTTTTAGCGACGACTTCCGACGAACCTTTGCCGTCGAAAAAGCGAATTTCCGACGGCAAAAGGCTTTTTGCGACCACAAAATACCCTCACTAAAGGCCTTC